TATGCTCTCTATGACATGAACTAGTATGAAATGAACGCTTTGAGTACTAGCAAGGGCCTTGATGCAGTAAGTATATGAAAATTAATAAATAACAAAATAGTAACAATGTTTATCTACACATATATTTCTATGGTTTTTATATATGTATTAGTGCTATCAAATTATTTAATTGCAATGAATCGCATCTCAAAAAAGTTAGTGTTTACATAATATATTCATGTGTATTGTGCATATTTATGTATATATACACAAATACATGTATATATTTAAGAAATACATCTAATATATATATATACATATTTATTTATTTTATTTATTTATATATATGAATGAATGAATGGATGCATTTATATAGTGCTTTATTGTGTATTGCTGTACACCCAAAGCAATATTTTGCATTATATATTTTAACACCAATTACTTGTACATTCACAAAAGTATTGGGACACCCCCTTCTTTAGAACAGAAAAAGGCACTTCCAAAACTGTGCAAACAGAGATGGAAAACATAATTTATGTATTTAAAAATTGTATTTCCATCTCTGTTGTAACAGTTTTGGAAGTGCCTTTTTCTGGAATGTACAAGTCATTGGTGTTTGGTGAGGAGTTTTTGGCTCAAGGTCTGCATTTAAAGTCACACCAGAGGTGTTCAGCTGGGATTAGGACTTTGCTTTCTGCAGACCAGTCAAGTTCTTCCACACTGACTCAATCAATCATTTCTTTTTGAACCTTGCATTATACACAGACTCAGAGGCATTGTCATGTTAGAATAGAAAAGGGTCCTGTCCAAACTGTTGCTATAAAATTAGAAGCACACAATTTCCTAGAATATCATTATATGATTAAACATTAAGATTTGTACTCATGGAAATTACTAAAGTAGTCAAACCTGTTCATTAGAAGCGGGTGTCCCAATACTTTTGACTATATAGTATATACAGGTGCATCTCAATAAATTAGAATGTCGTGGAAAAGTTAATTTATTTCAGTAATTCAACTCAAATTGCGAAACTCGTGTATTAAATAAATTCAATGCACACAGACTGAAGTAGTTCAAGTCTTTGGTTCTTTTAATTGTTATATATATATATATATATATATTATATTTATCATTTACATTTATCTCTGAAATGTTCAACACACACACAGACATTACACACATTATATTTTGATCAAATAATTTCAATAATGTAAATAAATTATTTGCATTATTAGTTATTATATAAATATGCTTTATATTAAAAACATTATATGCTATACATTGAATAAAAAATTAATAAAACAAAAACAAAATATGTAATTTTGTATTACATTCTAAATTATTCACAAGATTCTGTCAACACTTTGACACGACAGCTACACACACATAAATATAATGCATTTTTACACACATAAATATAATGCATTTTTAATAAAATAAAGTAAATAATATAAATATAGTTTGCATTATTAGTTATTAATATCTAAAACATGATGTATATAATTTTTTTAATGATCTTTTTTGTGATTTATGGTTTATATCTATGGATTTATGAAATATGTGCTTGTACATTTTTGGCGGACTGATGACTTTTTGGTGTTATATTAAAACATTATATGCTAAACATAAAATAAAAAAATTTAATAAAAACATATAATATTTTTATTAATTTCTAAATTATTATTCACATAATTAAAAGATTCGGTCAGCACTTTGACATGACAGCTATAAACATGCATATATGTAATGCATATTTTTTGATAATAAAATAATGTAAATAATATAGTTATATTGTTTGCATTGCTAGTTATTATTATCTAAAATAAGCTGTATGTACTGTATTTTATTTATTTATATTTTGTGATTTTATGGTATATTTTTATTGTAATGTTGTTGTGAAATATGTGCTTGTACATTTTTGGGGGCCTGACAACTTTCTGGTGTTATAAATGTATTGAATAATTCTGACTAAATCCAGTGAAGTGAATATAGCAAACAGCTAATGCTTACTAGTTTGTTCAGTGCATGTTGGGAATTTCTAGAGAGCGAACATTTCGGTACACTGGAATGTTTCTAGGACAATGGGAGAGCCCAAGAAACGGCTGACTCCCTGTGAAGACTGCTTACCACTTAACTAGAGAGCGGACTGAGGCACACAGATTGTTTGCTCACGTCAGCTGTTTTCCATATTCTCACTCTTTCTTAGCCTGTCTCGGAGGAAGATTACGAAGCTGACGCTTTCCTCGTACACCTAGTCTTATTTGTGTTGACAAATGAGCCTCATTTCTCAGAGTTGCTTAAAGAAAACTTGATGTCTAATCATAATTTATGATGTGCAATGTTCACTGTACGGCCACATTTCTGTGAAAATGTTTGAAAGGAACCTAATGAAGAGACCCAGAGAGCCGCGGCAGGCAGAAAGCTTGAGCTAACAGAAACAGAGCTCATGATGAAGTGACTGCAAGACTTATTAAAAAAGTGACGCTTCTCATTGCTGTACGGGTTTTATTACATGCCAGAGCTTTCCCACTTGGGAGAACGTATGAAAGCTAAGTTAATTCTCTTACCCAGCCTTCAGATTTAGAGTCTGTTTTCAGTGAGTGGGTGTTGTAGTGTAATGAAGTGCAATATGAGTGCATCACCTGCACCAAAAAAGCACCTGCATTTTGCTGGTTGTACTCATAGTTAAAGTATATGATTGATGATACAACACACACACCTGCATTAAGTATTTTTGATGCCTCCTACAATTATGTGTTTTAATGCTGTAGGGTTTTATGCGATTAATGTGTGTAGATATATCAGATCTCTCATGTGACTGTGTTTCTTTTAGAGGAATGTTTTACTCAAAATTTCATAATCTACACACCCTCGTGCAATTTTAAACCTGCATTAGTTTGTTGCTTTGTTATAGGAAAAAAATAGTCTGTGTTTCCATACAATGAAAGTGAATGGGGACAGAACTGTCAACCTCCAAAAATAACAAAAAATCACCAGAAACATATATTCTAAAACTTTAGTGTATCTGAGCGCAAATGAGATTTAAGAGTTACAGCAGAACATTTTCTGTTAATATAATGAAGCCCAAAAGATAAGAAAATCATAAAAACAATCAGCAACAAATAACAAATTAAATTGTGACTAAATAATGATTTTTATTAATTATAGTCATTTTTTTTACTATAATAAATAAATATGTATGTGTAAATAAATAAATAAATCTAAATAATTGGCTATAAATGAAACTTTATTTATTTATTTTTGTTTGGTTTGTTGGTTAGGGTTATTTATTTATTTATTTAGCCAGTGATTGATTTGTTTGTTTTATTTATTTATTTATTTTTCTATACTACAATGAAAGTGAATGGGGACAGAACTGTCAACCTCCAAAAATAACAAAATAAAATCACCAGAAACATATATTCTAAAACTTTAGTGTATCTGAGCGCAAATGAGATTTAAGAGTTACAGCAGAACATTTTCTGTTAATATAATGAAGCCCAAAAGATAAGAAAATCATAAAAACAATCAGCAACAAATAACAAATTAAATTGTGACTAAATAATGATTTTTATTAATTATAGTCATTTTTTTTACTATAATAAATAAATATGTATGTGTAAATAAATAAATAAATCTAAATAATTGGATATAAATGAAACTTTATTTATTTATTTTGGTTTGTTTGGTTTGTTGGTTAGGGTTATTTATTTATTTATTTAGCCAGTGATTGATTTGTTTGTTTTATTTATTTATTTATTTTTCTATACCTAGTGATCTTTTAAAGCCAGTGATTTATTTATTTATTTATTTTAAGCAATTTATTTTTATTTATTGTAAGTGTTTGTTTCTTTCTTATTTTAAGCGGTTTTGTTTTTTTAAATATTTTTTTTATGTTTATACATTCTGTGCTCAAATGCTAATATGATGATGTTGCCTGGCTGGTTTGGTGGTGAATATAAAGTTCATGTAAAGGTTACAGTGACTGTGGTGACATTAGATAAATGTCACAGATTGTACTCGGTGAGATCAACGTCGCAGCATGTTAAATCAGCGTCTTAATTACACCACTCACAGGTCTTCAAACAAGTCATTTCTATCAAGTCCACCCTCATGACTCAATAGCTCTTTTGACATGTGTATCATTGAGGTTGTTTGAGTTCATTCTCTGTTTTTAGAACTCATTATGAATGGATCTTTTGTGTATTATTCAATAGAGCACGCTGTGTGGTTTCGTGTGTTCCATTGTGATATCATAAACGGCTATTATAGATCAAGAAACATACTCCATCTCAGATCCAATCTTAACTGTTTGGTAACCATGGTGATTTCAGTTCCCATTTGGAGCATTGAACTGGTCAGATCTTGAGTTGAAACTTAAGATAGGAAGTTTCTGTAATAGAAGCTTCTGTCCAGAAGCAACTGTACTGACTTGACCTTGAGCCCAGAGAGTTCTGCTTTGTGAAAACTGGATTTTTAGATTGAATTCTTGTAACGTATTCGTAAATGGACAAATGCGCCACACTAAGCCCTTTCTCTTCCCAGGGCCAAAACCCTCCAAATGTTATCTGTTCAGATACAGGGATGATTATGTTTAGGGCTTTTTGATTTATTAAAGAGAGACGTGAAAACATTGGAGAGAGCGCAGGAATTAGAACATGTTGCAGATTGGACTCAGTTGGCACCAATGCTCAGTGTGCGCTAACCAAGAAACCTCAATGCCAATATTATTTCCTCTTGAAATATTGTACATATATTTTCTTTATTTATTGTTAAAAACACTTTCTGCATTGCTAAAAGATATAACATTTGGTGAATTTTGTGCACAAACATCTGAAATTTGGATTTAAGGTCTGCATGTCCTTCCTGTGCTTAGAATCAGAACTACTTGCCTTGCGACAAAATCATTCTGACCCATTGTTAATATCATGGTTCTCAATGGGAAATCGTTGTGTGCCCTGCTCTAAGCAAATTAATGGGCTGACATGGTGGGTATGTGTTTTTCTCTGTGTTTGTTGTAGACTTGAGAGATGTGGTGTTTGTCATCCAGAGCCAGAGGAACTCTTTCCATGTGCGGCAGGCGGAGAAACTCAGAAAAGACCTTCTGCTGCAGACACAAGCTCTTCAAGAGGTATCAATATATATATATATCTTCTTCTGTTTTTCATGACCTTTTGACATTATACCTGGCATGGGTTCACATAATTAAATCAGTTCAACCCAAAGAGAAATTATTTGTGCAGTTATGTTCACATTTTCTCCATGACTTTCTGGAGAATTACAGCCATCTGTCATGAACCCTTTGCTAAGCCAGATGTGCGCTATCAGTTAAGACTTTGAACACATCTACTTAAGGCCCGTTCACACCAAGAATGATAACTATAAAGATAACTATATTAATGTCTAGGGATGCACCGAATGTTCGGCAACCGAAATTATTAAATAAGCGAAAAGACCGAATAAATTGTACCGAACAATGACATGAGGCGATTAAATAGCAACCAGCGTAGAGTGAGAGGCGCGCACTCTTTATAATGCAGCAAACATGACGGCAGTGTGGAATCGTTTAAAACTGTCAAAGAAAGAGCAAAAATCATTACAAGCACCGACGGCGAGAGACCGTTTAGTGCTGCATCACATGTCTTCGATGAGAAGAGGAAGGGGTGATTGTTGCTGGTTACTGTATGATGATTGAAATCGCGAAATGGCCTTAAACAATTAGTAAATAAACTGCAGAACGTCATGCTTTCTAATACACACGCGAATTGCATGTATTCTGACAGCGCTGCACGACCTCGCGGCGGATCTGCTTGTTAACCAGGGTTCAAAGTTCAAAGCACGAGGAAAATCTGCGCTGAACCAGTGTTACTCGTCAGTTGCTCAGTCACATTTTTATGAATTTTTACAAGGCACGTGACAGTGCGATACGTGCGACATATTCGTAATGAGACTCGTTTATAAATCTGCTGTCAACAAA